CTCCTGGGGCCTATGCCTCCTCACCAGGGAGCACTCTGCGGTGTGTGCTCAGCACAGCCTTCAGGCCTCAAAGACACCGATTCTCATTTGCTCAGCAACAGCTGCTTCAAGGCCCAGCATGAAGTAGACTGCTGCCTCACTAAATGATTATTCAGTGGCGGAGGGACAGACAGACAGACGTGGTTCCAGTTAGCTCCGTTTTATGAGTTAGGAATCAATGAGAAAAGCCTGTCACCATTAAGTCTCACGATTAACCATTCTTCCACACTGTCCAGAGTCTCCATGCCCCATCTCCGAGCAGCTAAGCCCAATGCCACCGCTGCAGCAGAGAATTCAGCCTTTCCAGGGACTAACACCCTGACCCTGATCTTACCTTGAGTTATTTTAAATTCTTTTTTTTTTTTCCTCTGATACATCACAATGGCCGGATGTGTGGAAGAATCTCTTTTATACCCATAGCATCCTACCAAATGGAGTATGGTTATTACTGGGTCTGAAGCCAAGTTTCCTGGGTAAGTATATTTTAAAAACTGAGGAAGGAGTCATTTACTATTCTTTCTGCCATGTTGGCCACCTGCTGGCAGCAGTCTTTCTTCTGCCATCCGGCAGTGCTCCTCCCCCATGCGGCGGTGCTCCTCCCCCATGCGGCGGTGCTCCTCCCCCATGCGACGATGCTCCCCCCATCCGGTGGTGCTCCTCCCTGGCCAGACATCAATCTCAGTAACATCATGAGCCCCAAGAAGACACAATGCACTAAAAGCTTAGGTAGCTTCTTCTCCCAGAGGGTTAACGAGAGCCAGGAGAAGGCACCTGGCTTGCTCACTGCCGTCCCACTGCTAAGCGCAACCATCAGCCTGGCCCCTCAGCAGCAGTCCAGCTCTCGCTGCTCTGTCACAGCTTTGCTACTGGATGTCAATAGTTCCGGCCCGGAGCTGCCTTTCTGTCACCCGTCACCTGTTGCCAACCACTCCAGCTCCTTGCCTTGGAGACTTTCTGCAGGGCTTCTGATCCCATCACATTTTTTAAATTTATTTTTTATTTTTTTCAAAACAGGGTTTCTCTGTGTAGCCCCGGCTGTCCTGGAACTTACTCCATAGACCAGGCTGACCTCGAACTCACAGAGATCTGCTTGCCTCTGCCTCCTGAGTGCTGGGATTAAAGATATGGACCGCCATTGCCTTGCCCTCATCACACTTCTTTGATTTGATTAGTAAGTATTCCATTTTTTTTCCCATACAACTATTGTACCTGCCTACAGACTTTAATGCCCTGGATGAATTCCCTCACCCTGATCCATCAAACTTTAGGCTCAAACATTCAGACACAGAGAGTCCTAGATCCTTATCACTTATAGGTGGAAGACCTCCCAGGTGAGCCTCCAGGTCTCCCAGGCTCTGACAGTGTGAGATCCAGTCTTTCCCTTCCCTCCCCCTTCTCATAGATCTCAATTTCCTAAGGGAGCTTCCTTTTCCCTCCAGATTCTATACTTCAGTTTCTGAACACACCCAACACATGGTAAGAAGTCCTGTCAAAATCCTTATGAACAGGAGTGAAATAGAAATAAGAATGCAGTCGAACGGGGGCATTAGAGCAGAACACTGGACAGGAGATCCAGACATTGCAAAAGGCAGTGGTAAACAGATCTGAAAAGACTGAGGAAATTATTGATCAGGAACAAAAGTTCCAAAGACAAAATTTAACCTTGTCGGTACGTAAAAATCTCTGGGATAGCTTCCCCAGAGTTCTGCCTGCCTTTCCAGTAATAACAACAGAAAAAGTATCTGGCTCCAAGGTAGAAAAAGTATCTACCCTAAGGTTGTCAAAGAATATACATGGGAGCCCATAAGTATGACTGATCTAAAGAAAATTAAACGAGCAATTGTAGCTTACGGACTCCATTCATCCTTCGTTGGGGAAATGGTGAAAACCTGGCCTTTCAGTAGCAGAGGCTATTGGTCGAACGGCTGCCAAAGCTGCCCACTTGAGACACAACCAGAGTGCAGGGAGAGAATCTAGCCATGACTTCAAGCAGCAAGCTTCCAACCGCATACTCCTTTGTCTCGCTAACACTCTACAGGGAACTCAGCGACATGACAAGAGGGTGCGCATGGAAAAAAAGGAGGAAGATGAGCAGGTTGAACGTTCTGGAAAGTGTGGACTAAAATCATAACTTCTCCCAAGCTCCATGTGTCTGACGCCAGCTCATCTTCCCTATCCCTGTATAGGGCAATTTCTAAGACTCGCAGATTCTCCCGTACTCTCTCCTGCACCTCCTGGCCTTTCTTTCCTTCCAGCAGGGGCACTGCTACCCTAAGTCACCCTCTTATGACGCCCTCTCAGACACTGCCCCTCTGTCCACCCAGGCCCAGCAGGTAGCTTTCTGTAATCTAGACCTTTAAGCCTTTCTTCCTTCTGCCCACATACTAGATATCAGTGTCCTGAGCAGGTAATACTGTCAAGGGGACATCACAGAAGAGCAGTGTAATCAGAGTCACTGAGAAAACACAGGCGTGAGTGAAGGGCAGGTAGTGAGACAGCCAGACCTTTGCTCACCAGCCTTTGCTGCTCACAGCTGTTTCTGTTTGTCCACCATGGATACTCAAGAATGCAAGGCCGGGTCTGTTTGTACTCAGACAACAACACTTAACAGAGAACATGGCCCACTACAGGCTTAACATGATGGCGGACCGGAACAATCCACTCCACAGGCATGCCAACGACCTGAGGCAGACCCTAACTCCAGTTTAAAGCCACCTCTTGGGCTGCTCCCCAGCATGAACTACAGTTCAGCTCAATGACAAAGTCCAGGATGGTTTATTTTGGCTTGTGGTCAAAGGGAAATTGTGGGTTATTCATAGCAGTGAGGTTGGTGAAAACACAAAACAAAACAAACAAAAAGCAATTTTTTCCATAACTACTAGTTAAAAAAAAAGAACAAAATTATCCCCTGGTCTCTACATACGTGAGCACACACATGCACCTGTATGTGCATGTGAGTCCACATATACACATACATACACACACACATAAAATTCATGTTGTACTTTTATAGACTTTTAAAAATCATTATTCCCAAATATTAAAGTATAAAAACCATTTACATGGCATTTATAACTTTTAGCATTATAAGTAATTTTTGTTGTTGTTTTTTTGTTTGTTTGTTTTTCAAGACAGGGTATCTTTGTAGCTTTGGAGTCTGTCCTGGAACTATCTCTTATAGACCAGGCTGATCTCGAATTCACAGAGATCTGCCTGCTTCTGCCTCTCAAGGGCTGGGATTAAAGGTATGCATCACCATTACCCGGCTATAAGTAAATTTTTAAGAGTCAAGGTCTCACTATGTAGCACTGGCTAGCCTGGAACTTGCTATGTGGACTAAACTGTCCTCAAACTCACCAAGATCTGCCTGCCTCTGCTACCCTAGTGCTGGTATTAAAGATAGCCTGGCTCATGAGCAATCTTGCAGTGGCTTAGAGTTTGCAGAAAAATAAGCACTTCTCTGGGGAACTGGGGGATCAATCATCCCCTCTATTATGAAGGACTGCATTATCATGCTCAAAGAAATGAAAGATGACAAGAGATTAGTATAAAACAGACAAAAAAAAAACCTAACACAGAAACCATACATACATCAGACTAAGCTGATTATACTTATGGTTACAGAGAATAGCCTAATTAAAATAATTCAAAATATAACCTAGCTAGGAATGAAATTAATAGTATATCAAGATCTAAGTTGAGTTATTCCTCCCAAGAACCAAAATTCAGTTCAAAAGAAAAGACGTTCATTTAACTTCTCATATCAAAAGACCATAGAGCATATAGAGGTCATAGGCATGAGCTCTTCCTTGGTCTGCATCAGAGCCGTATGCCATCAGAAAGAGGGACTGATGATTGATTGCCTAAAACTAAAGAGGTGTTCTTAAATACAATACCACCTACTAAGTGAAATAAAACCACAACAGAGGGACAAACTCCTCAATGGCAAAGCGAACAGGACTCCAAACTGGCAATTCACAAAGGAAGAAATACCAGGGCCAATAAACAGACAGAAAAGACTTTTGATCTTTTTTTTTTTTTTTTTTTTTTAAGCCTTTTGATCTTAACACTCACAGTGAAACACAAATTAAGTGGCAGGGTACTCTAAGGAACCCAGCAGGGGGCAGCACTCCTCTGAGATTCTGGGCAGGAAGTGAGCTCCTGCAGAGTCCATAGGTTAAGGGGTGTCCCAAATGAGGAAATACTTTCTGTTGCCTATTGATTTTCCAAGAACTACCAGCCCTATTAGGCAGAACCGTATGCAAGCAATCTACTTCTGAGTGTCAAAAGTTCATTTATCATATACTACCTTATTGGCTAAAAAAGCAGAAACAAGCCCTTATAAAGTTACCCTACCTGCATGAATATTCACAAAGAAGCTTACAAGCATTCAAAATCAGTAATGGCAGCTGCTCTGTGGAGGAGGGGAAGTGTTGAAAACTAAGCAGATGGGAATGGACTAGAGATGGCACTTTTATTTAGTACACATTTTGTTTGTAAGTCATATAAATATATTTCTATGTAAACATAAAATTAAAATACGCTGTTTAACGAAAAATAATTGTAAGTGAATTTCTCTTTTCTTTTTCTTTGTTCTTTCCATATAGACATTTTTAGACAGCGCTCCCAGATGATACAGTTTCAAATTTCCAGACACCATTTACCTGCCCCTAATCTTAACATCCAGTCTTACTGAGATTCCCTGGGACCCCGAAGAAGAGTCCACTCTTAAGACATTTAAAATTCGGTGGCATGTACTAAAACGTACTGTTTTTACACCTCACTTGCAAAGGCGCTCTGAAAAATTTTGTCCTAAAGACATACTAGATAAGGGCGAAAGGATGACTGCAGCATTATATATTTCAGACGGACATTAGGAGAGACCACAAGCCAGCGGACCCCATTTTGAGTGACGAGGCTCCCTTAAATTCCCACCCCTGGCTTCAGGATGCTCCACTCACTTGGTTTGCGCAGGGGTGCGATGGTTGGTATTGGAGCAGAAGATGTTGGACTTGCGCGTACCGTCGAGGAATTCGCGAACTGAGTTGTCGCGGAGCTCGGCCAGGGGACGGGCCTCGTGTTTGAGGTACCACTGGTGCGCCTCGAAGCACTTGTTGCACATGAGCTGCTCGCATTCGAAACACCAGAAGTCAGCCGACTCTTTGCAGCGGGTGCACGCAGCCTGCACATCCACGATCTGCCGGAACACCGCCAGGCGCCGCTGCAGGCTCTCGAAGAACACGTTATCCAGGGCTTCCGCAGGAGGGTCGGCCCCCGGTGCCTGGCAGATAGGGCACTGAAAACCCCGCGCCTCCAGGCATCCAGAGCACAGCGTGTGCAGGCAAGGAAGCAGCTTGGGGCACTTGGCTTGCGCCTGGCAGCCCAGGCAGCGCAGAAACTGGAATTCCTCCTTCAAGGTTTGCTGATGAACCAAAGAGAGAAATGAGGCCTACAGAAAGCCCAGAATTCCCCCACTGCTCGCCCATCCCATCCCTTGAGCTGGAAGCTGGAATGGAAAGGACCTCGCATTCCATTCTAGGGAGTCATTGGATCATGCTCTGGCTTATCGGCACCCCATTTCTTCATTTACTCAGGCCTTGCTCTCACTGGACAATTTACCCGGCACCTATCTACATACCACTAAACTCACTAGTAGGCCCTGAGATAGAAGTCTGGATATATCTTTGCATTCAAAGAACTCAAGTTTGGAAATCAGATACACTAACGTGCCAAACTCCCACAACTGCTGGGGCTGGTCGTCAAAAGTTAGACATAGAATTACTATAGGATCAGAACTTCCACCTTTCATATACACCCAGAAGAACTGGGCGAAAATTCCAAGCAGGTATTTATATACGAATGTGTCCAGCGGCATTAGCCACAAGAGTCACAGCGACCCAAGTACTGTTTAGCACATGAATTCATGAACAAAACGTGTCTGCACATATAATGGAATATTATTCAACCTTTAAAAGAAATGAAATTCTGATTACATGCAACAACATGGATGAACATTATGGTAAGTGAAATATGCCATGAAGTGAGAAATACTGTGCAATTCCATTTATATAAAATATTAGAATAGTTAAGTTCATAGAAACAGAAATTATAGCTATTGTTTAAAGGACACAAAGTGCTCAGTACAGTGCCTGGCACATGAGAAATACCCATAAATGCTAAATAGTATTGTTAATCCTTAGCTATAGGATGCCAATAATTAAAAAGTTATGGCAATATGGCCTTATTTGAGCTTTTGTGAAGGGGAAAAGGAAAAGAACAAAGAGATAGAGGCTTTTCTTTGGGGTTAAGTATGACAAGTCGAGGTAAAACTTCAGGGAGAACCAAGAACTAGGCTTCCTTAGGACACGCCACACGAGCAGGGCATGGTGGCACACACCTTTGCTCCTTGTTCTCTCAAGATAAGACAGGTGGTCTCTGAGTTTGAGGCCAGCCTGGTTTACACAGTGAGCTCCAGCCCTGCCAAGACTGTCTAGTGAGGCCCTGCCTGAGGGAAATAAAAATAAAACATCCCTAAACTTCATATGCATAAAATAAATCTATGAAAATCAAAAGAGAGAGAAGCCAAATGAATTGCCTTGGTTTTAGCCAAGACAGCGCTTTGGTCGGGGCCAAGTTTTGTCTATTTCTGTTGTATTGTTTTGAAATAGGGTCTTGCTGTGTCGCCTCTAGCAGTCTTGAACTCTCTTTGTAGACCAGGCTGGCCTGGAACTTATCACCTCACTCCAGCACCTATATCTCAAGTACTGTTGCTCCTGGCATACGCTACCACAGCTGGGGGGAGGGGGTGTAAATGATTTTGTCATGTTTGGGGCATGCCTTTAGCTTCAGGCTACGGCAAAGGAGACTCCTGCCCTGACTGTCTCCCTGAACGATTTTCATCTGAGGTAGGAACTAAAAGACAAGGCTCCTGGGGGGTAGAAGTGGCCCATCTCATTACAATCCAACTATACCCACGGCTCTCCTAACTTATCCTGGTTCCTCTTTTTAGTCTATGCTATCCGTCCTACCACTGCCCAGACAGGAGGGTCAGGACCTTGGAATCTCTCTAGGACACTAAGTTACCTTCTTTATAAAAACCTTCATTCTCAACTCCACGATTAAATAAACAAAAAATCCTAACAATCCTTCATCTCCTAACCCAGTAGTACCTCCGCGGGGCTTTGGTTGTGTTCATGGTCTTCGGAGGGGTCCTCCGGAGGAGGCATGGTGGGCGTGGGGGCCAGGGCCGGGTCTTGTTGGAGACCGGGAGATCCAGAGGACTCGGGCGCCTTCTGCATGGAAACCAGTGCAGTTTCGATTTCTGGAATGGGTTTGTGAGGGCGGGAGAGGAGTCCCAGACTTGAGGCAAAAAACTGAATAGCCTGAGCTGTCCAGCGGGGAGGTACCCGCTGAGGGCCCGCCTCCCGAGAGGAAGTGAGACATGACTGGGGCGTGTCTAGGGGCGGAGGGACTGGTTTTTGAACTCCCTTCGGGAGTTAGAAGAGAAAGAGTAGGGAGCTCTGGAGCCACCTCGGGTAGAACCAGAAAGGTTAACCAAATACGCAAACAAACAAGCCCAGCGTGATGGCATGGCTCTGTAGCAGAAAGATCGCGAGTTTGACTGCTCAACAACGGAAGATCCTGCCACACACGTTATGCACGCCAGGAGTGGTGCAGAGCTGCCTGGCTGGCTATAGAGGCACTTCTCTGTTCCAGATCTGTCTGTGAGCTATTCAGCTCGCCACACAGTTCTGTGCCTCCCTAGTTAAGAACCCCTCTTTGAGAGACTCTTTCTTTATTAAGAAATAAACCCCTCTTTGAGAGAACCACCAAGTCACCCCAAATGGAGACTTCGACCCAGTATTGGGATGGGTCTGCCTGGAAAGGCATCCCTCAGCTGAGAATGGAACACGTAGTGGAAAGTGCCGGGATTCAGGGTTGCGGAGACACTCTAAAGAGAGACGAGAATCTGGAAAGGAGGGCCATTTTCAGATCTGAGCTGGAACTCCTAAAAAACGATCCCCGAGAGGAGGAGATTAATCCATAGGGCGGAAGATTGACCAGTTCTATATATGATCGGAGTGTTGGTGAAGGGTTTGGGACATGGTGTCAGCAGTGTCGCTCTGATGACCTGAGGAGTCAGGAGGCTTATGAGAAGCGGCTGTGGGATGCAGAGGAGGACCTGAGGCAGGTGAGAGGACACCAGTGAAGGACAGAACAGGATGAAGCCTTCAGAGACGCGGGTTTAGTGAACAGTGGAGAGCAGGGAGGCAGGGGGAAGAACTGGCCAGACGCAGGGGAGAAAGCAAGGAGACAGAAAGCTAGCTCTGAGGGAAAAGGAATTCAGAACCCACTGGGCGTGGAAAAGGCACACCTGTAGGTAGTCTCACTGGCCGGTGCCTTTGGCTTCCAACTTCAATCTATTCCCACCCATTTTTCTGGCTCTGTGTTCATCCATCCTACGCTGTGATCCTATATGAAAGAGAGCAAACGGGATGATGACAGGTCCCTGCTTTTGTATACTTAAGAGTTGAGATGAGGGAGAGGCTAAAGGGAGACACAACATCCTAGAGACTATGAGAAGCCTTGCAAAAGGCCCATACCTCCAGGCTGACCTGTATTTCTTGGCCTTTAAAGTTAGGCCATCAAACCAAGAACTGTCAAGTATAATGGACAGTTGTTTCTGTCATATTTTGTTAAGAATATATTTATACAAATATTTGTGTTTTCTTTCCTCAATTTCTTTATCATGTGATTATGTTAACATCAATTAAGAGAATATCAATGATTATATTTAAGTTCTAAATACTAAAAGAATGTCCCTCAGGGACATTGTCACCTAAATTTATAATGCATTTGCACTTGTATGAGAAATAGTTATGATAGGTGTAATTATTACATTGTTAAATATGTAATGTGTTTGCAGTTGTACATGGGATAGTTATGTTTAGGTATTATTATGACTTGTTATTGTTTTCATTTGGGAATTAATCACAACATAAGGAGACATGATTGTATCTCAAGTTGACAAGGGGTGGAATTGTGATGGTTATTCTTGGTCATCAACTTGACTACATCTGGAATTAATTAAAACTCCACTCCTGGTACCAACTTGTCCTTTTATTGTTGTGACGAAACACCATGAGGAAAAAGTAAGTTGGAGAGGAAAGGAGTCTAATCTGCTTACATTGTCACATTGTAGTCCATTAATGAAGGAAGCCAGGACAGAGACTCAAACAGGGTGAGATCCTAGAGGCAGGACCTGATGCAGAGTCCATGGAGGGGTTTTGTTTATTGATTTGCTCCCAATGGCTTGCTCAGCCTACTTTCTTATAGAATGTACAATGGAATGGGCCCTTCTACATCATTAATTAAGAATATGTCTACGGTTTGCCTACAGCCCAATCTTATGGAATCATTTTCTCAAATGGAGTTCCTTCCTGTTCGATGACTCTAGCCTGTATCAAGTTGACATTAAATTAGCCAGTACAGCTGTCATAGCAGAGGGACTTAGAAATGGGCTATGGCAGGGATCTCAGGAGGCACAATTGAGAAAGCTTCATTTTTGGCTGGTTTTATAAAATGGCCTCCTGACAGTCTCCCCAACATCCCATTGGAGTATATTTGCTCCTTTCATTTGGGCTTTCTAAAGCCATGGAAAGACAAGTTAATTCAAATACCTGAATCAAGGTGTCTGATACGATGCTGTGATAGCTCTGCCGTCTTATACCTCTGTGCTACATCCACCCCTACCACCACCATCATCACCTCCACCACTACCACCACCACCATCACCTCCACCACTACCACCACCACCATCACCACCACTACCACCACCTCCACCACAAGCACCTCCACCACAAGCACCTCCACCACCAGCACCAATGCCACCACCACCACCACCATCACCATCACCTCCACCACCACAACTGCCACTGCCTCTGACACCGCTACTGCCACCACAGCCACCACCATCACCACCACCATCACCACCATCACCTCCACCACCACCACCATCACCACCATCACCACCACCATCACCTCCACCACTACCGCAACTGCCACTGCCTCTCCCACTGCTACTGCCACCACAGCCACCATCGTCACCAGCACTTACCCCACCCCCACCACCAGCACCAGCAGCAATAGCAGTACCACCACCACCTCCACCACCACCACCATCACCATCACCTCCACCACCACCACCACACCACTGCAACTGTCACTGCCTCTGCCACTGCTACTAAGACCACACCCACCATCATCACCACTGGCACCAGGAGCAACAACAGCAGCACCAACATCACCATCACCACCAGTACCACACACTGCCATGCTTCCTGAGGTGTCTGAACATGGAATTTCTCTTTCATACCAAAGTTCAGGCCTTTTGACCTCACCTTGTCCACATGACTCAGATCTGCCATCATTAAACAAATAAGTACAGCACTCTGTATGACAGGCTCTGTTTTTTGGGCTGTGGGGAAACAAAAAAAAAGATCATTTTGCCAATTATGCCCAGGAAAAAGCCCAAATCGGGGTAAAAATACATTTGTCAGTGTGTTGTGTTCAGAGGAGTATTGTGAGACAGATGACATTTCCTTGATTCTGGAGAAAAGGCTCCTGTAAAGCTTTTTTAAGCCAAGCTTCCTCTCCTCCTCTCTTAAGACCAGGTAAAAGATCAGAAAAGAGGTGGCTGGGACCCTTCAAGAAGCTCTCTAGTTAGCACCAAGGCCATGTCCCCAAACAGCGACCGCAGTTCGGTCCTCCCAGCGCAGGGGGCGCCGTGGTATGGCGGGTGCGGACCCGGTCAGCTTCCTGTTCCTGCGCAACCACTGTCCTTGGAGACGCAAGTGAAGCCGGAAGCGGCAGGGCCGAGGCGAGGTGGGGCGGGGCTGAGCGGGCTGGGTAGGGCCGGCGCCCGGTGGAGGCACCGGGCGTGTACCCGGTCAGAAGTCATGTTCGGCAGGTCCGGCTACCGGGCGCTGCCCTTAGGGGATTTTGATCGTTTCCAGCAGTCGAGTTTCGGCTTTCTGGGTTCACAGAAGGGGTGCTTGTCCCCAGAACCGGGCGGCGTGGGGCCGGGGGCCGGTGAGTGGCTGCCCGGACCGCAGAGGGACTGGCCGGTACCCCCAGACCTGTCCTCCCTGCCTATAGGAGGAGGGAGCATGAAGGGAATAGGATGCGGAGAGGGTGTCAGACTAGGCGTTGGGATGCTGCTGCTTTGTCCTCTCTAGGGCCACCAGCTGCAGCTTCGGAACCAGCGTAGCCCCATCTTCCCGAATCTCAGCTTTTCACGTTCATATTTTCAGGATAGCCCATCATGCATAGGAAGAAAACAGAATTCTGGGCAGAGGAGGCCACAGGCAACCTAAAAACACCTGCAGAGAAATGGAAAAAGAATCACCCAAGGGTAGCAGCGCAGGGACCAGGTGTCTCCTGTGTACTGGTGAAGATGCACAGAACAAAAAGGCAGGCTTGCAAGCTTTGCCTCTTTCTTGCTCCAGAGCCTTCTGTGGCTTCTTTGGCCTGACCTTGAGAATTTGGGCCCCCAGTGGTTCTCCTGTATTGATAACACATTGAACGATTTGTCACTGATGCATGAAATTCCAGTATTCTGCCTCCTGATCTTAGGATTGCTGCTGACCAAAGAGTCGATTCCTGAAGAGGCCAGAGTTCAGAATTTAGAAAGCCCTGCAGGCAGGGGCTCCCTGAAGGATAGAATAGTCTTTTTTTCACCTTGTCTAGGGCTGGAGGAGAGCAGACAGCAAGCTCACCCTAGATTCTGTGGCTGTCTGCTCAACACCTATTCTCGATTCTTGGTTCTCCAGGGGTTAGACTCTTTGTCTTTAGCCTCTTCTTCCCAGTTCATCCCTCCAAACAGCTTGAATTGAAATATACGTTAATCTTAGGGTATTAAAGAGGGAGTGAGATACTTCATTCTCACTGTGACTCTTGTTAATGAACAATTATGGTTTCATCCTTTTTAGCTGAGGCCTTTTCCCCATAAGGACCTCACGAAAGCATGCTTCTGGTAGAAGAACAATGTGTTAGCACCCGCAGCGTTAGTTCCACCAGCCTGGGTGTTCTCTTCCAGGTTTGGGTGGGCAATACACATTAGACAAGGAGTGGCTGATTCCTGCTCTGTCCAGCAAAGAGAGCATCACACGGATTGTGTTCCCAGCTTCACTGGCTCTTACCTAGGAGAGTAAAGTCTTGTGTGGGGTATTGCACTTGAGACCAGTTAGTTATGATGTGTGGTCCCTAACTAGCTTCGGGAAGCCTCTGAAGCAGAAGGCAGGCAAAACGTACACATGACTTCAGACTCTTGAAGTACTTGAAGTGGCCCTGCCAGGCCCAACTGGTAGTCTGTGGTTGCTTCTGCTCTTTTGTCCCCAGATGCACCTGAGAGCTGGCCCTCCTGTCTCTGCCACGGCCTCATCAGTTTCCTGGGGTTCTTGCTGCTGCTGCTTACCTTCCCCATTTCTGGCTGGTTTGCTCTGAAGGTAAGGCTAACCGAATGCTGTTGGGGAGTAGGGAGACACAGTGAAAGCTTTGGGTTTTGATGACTGAGTTACCCATATTTGGCCCCTTGCCTCTAAATGTTATATCACACCTCTATAAAACAAGCAAGGCTGGGTTGTTCAGTCTCTGAAGACTGGTCAGACTATGACGAGGAAACCTCGATTGAGGGATTATTACCTCCACCAAATGGGTCAGTGGCCTTGTCTTTGGGGGTATTTTGATTGCTGAGTGGTTAGGAGGGCCCAGTCCCCCGTGATACCATCCCTAGACAGTTGGGCCTGAGCCAGTAGAGCAAGCAGGGGAGGCGGGGCAAGCCAGTAACCGTCATTCCGTTATTCCCCCCAAGGTCTCGGCTTCAGTTCTGCCCCCAGTTTCTTGCTTTAGCTTCCCTCAGTGATGGTCTGTAGCCTGTATGCCAAATAAACTCTTCTCCCCACATTTCTTTTGATCAGTGTTTATGACAGCTACAGGAGAAATCAGGACAGTTCCCATCCTCCAGATTAAGATTAAGATTAAGTCTGAGGGCCAGACTTAACCAGAATCATCTTGGGAGTCAGTAAGGAGGAGAAATGAATTTTCTGAGGCCTGGAATCTAGACACATGACTTTGCCAAGTCATCCTCCCTTTCTCTCGGGTCCATTTGAAAGAAAAGCACACAGCTTGCCCCGCGGAACTCAGGCCCCATTTTCCAGAAGTGGTGGTACTTGTGGGAAAGGATGAGAGACACAGCTGTAATTGAGTTCCAGCCCTGGCAGCTCCTGCTGAAGCCCAGGCACGCCTTTCTCTTTGCATGGCCTTGGCAGTGATGTCTCTAGAAAGCCTCTGTGTTTGTGTGGGAGCACCGAGTTGAACCCAGATCCTACGTTCTACAGTGCCGCTGAAATAAATGCCCTATGACCGCAGATGCATGGCGCGGGCTCTCTAGCGTTTAGTTCTCAATTTAGATTTAACTATTTCTTGAGGGTCTCCGGGGATCTGAAGGTGGTGAAGCTGTTTGCTCAGGGCATTTGTTGGAGCAACCAAGCCTCTTCCCCAACTAGTCCAAGAGCAAACAGTTCCCTGAGTGACTCATGATTAGCTTCAGGCCACAGAGGTAAAGTTTCTCTGGGTCAAGTCAGTACTTGTGGTGATTAAGACATGGCCCGTTACTGAGAACAGCGTTCAGACCATGGCCCTTTCGCTCGAGGGACTGTGTGATCACCAAGCATGTCTGCAAGCCTCGGCTCTCTCGTCTAAGCACAGCTAAGTGTCACTGTGGTAGAACAGCCACTGGAGACAGTTGAGAGGTGGGCTCAGTTTGGCCCTCAGCTTCAGGAGTGTCCGCCCTTGCTATCTTGACCCAGTGTGTTTGAGCAGAGCATTACCACAGGAAGTCCTTCACCTCATGACAGAGAAAAAGGAAAATAGGAAGTGGTCCAGGTTTGCTTCTGGCCTTCACACATACCCTACACACCAAAGGATATTTGACTGGCAGGGTGAAGTGAGGAGGGCAGAGGGGGATCTGGCAATTGACATTGGTCAGCCTGCTTCCAAACCCTTTCTTTTGCCATCATGAGCAGATCGTACCCACCTATGAGAGGATGATCGTGTTTCGACTGGGCCGGATCCGAACCCCCCAGGGCCCTGGCATGGTTCTTCTCCTGCCCTTCATTGACTCCTTCCAGAGAGTGGATCTGAGGACCCGAGCCTTCAATGTTCCTCCTTGCAAGGTGAGGGGCTTCTCAGATGCCCTGCACAGAGTGAATGTGGTCATGCATGGTGAATTTTGGGTATACCTGGGATTTGAGCCACACTTGACTCCACTTTCTTGGAGATACCATTTTGTCCTTGAGGAGTTAGCTGCCAGGCAGGTGGGTCAAGCTGGGTAGTCTCAGTGAGTTTGACCCCCTCCAGTAGCCCCTGGCCCTTTTAATGTTATCTCTATTATGATCTTCTGAAACAGTTGGCCTCTAAGGATGGGGCTGTGTTATCTGTGGGAGCTGATGTCCAGTTTCGCATCTGGGACCCAGTGCTCTCCGTGATGGCTGTGAAGGACTTAAACACAGCTACTCGAATGACAGCCCACAACGCCATGACCAAGGCCCTACTCAGGAGGCCACTGCAGGAGATCCAGATGGAGAGGCTCAAGATCAGTGACCAACTCCTGGTACGTGGCTTCTCACAAGGTGCGGCTCTGTGTCTGGCAGTGGGGCCTGGCCTTCTCTGCCAGCTCACTTTGAACAAGGGCTTGTTCTTGTACTCTGGGTCTTGGCTCACTATATGTCCCAACATTATTACCACCTGAAAAGAATCTGGGTGAGGCCCCACGTGGAGGGGCAGAGGTGACCCGGGTCACATACTTGAGCACATGTGTCCTGAACTGAAGTGCTCTAGTGGAAATCCTTGGCCCTGCTTCTGGCTGCTGAGACTTTCCCCTCCACTGCTTCTATGACCACAGCCCTGGGCCTTGGGCCCTCTGCAGTTTCTGATCTGGAGGGTGAGAGGATCAGGGCCCTCTGGGTGCAGCCACGTGCCTGGGACTCCGGCATGAGCATTTTCATTTAGAGCTTATCTTTTTGTTTAGAACAGAACAGAGACTCGGGGCTCCTGAGTCTTTCTCCCGTCCCCAGCTCTACATGTATGAAAAATTAGGTGCACTAGATCTTGTCTTCTTTCCTGTCTCTTACATATGCAGTGGTCTGTCCCTCCCGTACCCAACTTGTGCTTCCTCTCCTCCTGTGTGGCCTAACGTTTACCCAACGTCACCATGACCCCCCAATGGGGCAGAATGAAATTCCCACCAAACAGCGGCCCTCATGGCACAGTGGTTGTTTGGTTGTTTTGTGGCAATGCCAGTTGAGGAGGAAACCCAGGGCTATGGGCATGCTAGACAAACATTCTAACACTGAGCCCCCAGCCCCAGGCGCAGCATTTTATGGCTTACAGAGTACTTGTACCTGCCCAACAACATCAACATCTCAGCTTCCCATTTTCACTGTGAGAGGCCAGTATTTGCCCTTTTAATAGAGGAGAGGAATCAAGGCCCAGAAATTATTCCAGTTGGTTCTGAGAACCATTCATGGTAAAGGGCAGTTCTGAGCCAGAACTAGACCATCTACTCCTACCCACAATGTGGTGTTCAATCTATATAACTCAGGTAGTATGCTGCTACCAGACATTCTTCATGCAAGCATATCCTGTTATAATTCACCTTTGGGAAGATAAAATTGATCTTAAAAGTTGTACTGCTTTGACGTGAGAGGGGCAGTTTGGAAGAAGTAGGATGTGAGAGTCCCTTACGGTCCATTGCCCAGAGCCCATCTACATCTCCTGGTAGAGTTGAGCTGAAAAGAACTCTCAGGAGCTGCCTTATGTGTCTCTCCAGTCCTGTTCAAACAAGTGTGCATTTTCCACTTCCCTTTCACCTCTGCAGGGTTGTGAACTCCCCTCCCACCTCTTCCTTAACTGCTACTTCTTGGCCTCTTCCCCAGTTGCATTTTGGCCAACAGCTTCTTAACCCTCCACTGCCCTCCTGGGTCTCCCCCCACCCCTTGCTCTCTGCCCTGCTGCCCTCCTGCGGCCCCCACCCCTTGCTCTCTGCCCACCCTGTCTCTTTACTCTCAGGGGAGACTGTAGGCAGAACCTTCATACCCTCTGCATCTCTGCTTCACTGTGCTTCCTGCTTCCCTGCTGGAGGCTCTTCCCTGTACTGGGCCCTGCCTGATCCCATCTCTCCCAAGGATCCCAGGGGTTCCTTTCTCAAGCTCTCATCCCCTCTTCACTTCCTTCCAGAAGGTTCTGTTCCTCTCCCTCCATCCTTAGTCTGAACTTTGCTCAGATTTAGTCGATAGCTCTGGCTGTCACCAGTGACCTCCTCTGGTCTGACCAGTAGGTGTTTGTCAGCCCTTCCCCTCTTGCACCTAGTAGCTACAGTCTCCTTTGGATCCCCTGCCCCGACCCTCACAGCCCCCAGCCCTGCGTGGTTTCCTGCCCTACAGAGTCCAGGATTCTTTCGTAGGTCTTTTCATTTCTTTCTGCCTCCCGCCCCCGGGCAGAGCTCCAGGGCTTACTGCAGTATGTTCCAGTCTTATGTTTGTGCACCTTGCTCGCCTTTATCCTTTGGAAACTCACAAAACCATCCTCAGACACCTAGAGCTAACAGTATGAGAATAGTTGTTATCCCTCCCCTTCGCCTCTTATGTGTCCTCTCCATGTGAATGCCATCATGACCCCAGGAGCCTTCCCCACCCCTGTGCCATCCGTATCCATTGCACAGCCTGTTTCCCTCTCCTGTGCCTGCTGTGACCCGGCAGAGTTTGCAAGGCAGGCCTCCCTTCTGCTTCTGTCTTACCACTGCCCCCCAGCCCTCCTCGTCCCCTAACCACACCCCTGCCCAGACCCCTAATCCCCTCACCACACCCCTGCCCAGCCCTCCTAATCCCCTCACCACACCCCCTGCCCAACCCTCCTAATCCCCTAATCACACCCCCTGCCCAGCCCCCCTCACCTCACCACACCCCTGCCCAGACCCCTAATCCCTTCACCATACCCCTGCCCAGCCCTCCTAATCCCCTCACCACACCCCCTGCCCAGCCCTCCTAATCCCCTCACCACACCTAATCCCCTCACCACACCCATCCCAGCCCTCCTAATCTCACCACACCCCTATCCAGCCCTCCTAATCTCTCGCCACACCCCTGCCCAGCCCTTCTAATCCCCCTCACCATACCCCCTGCCTTGACCCCTCACCTCACCACACCCCTGGCCAGCCCCCTCGTCTCTCGCCTGCAGTATGAAAGCACTCCACTCCCAACCCTCAGCACAGTGCCTACACAGCACCAGGAGTATCTTCTCCAAAAGGGAGTCTGCTTGGTTGGCCTCCTCCTGTCTATAAATTCCTCTCTGGGGTTCCTTGTCACCTCTGAGCAAATCCAACAGAGCAGGAAGAGGCTGCCTGGAACCCTGAGTTCTCACCAGTGCCCACTCCATACTTGAGAATCTAAGTGGAACTTTCTAGACTCTTCCATTTGGGATTTGCTGAGAAGGTCTCCTCTGCTTCTACTTGGAGTTCCCACCTCCCTCCCCAACTCAGCTCTTGTCTAGCTAAGCAGCTGGCTTTTCTTGCTGGATTCCCATCTGGGAGCTTCTCCGGTATAGATATGGGACCTCCATCCATGTCCATATGTGGCTATAGTGAGTTGTCCAGAGATGCTCAGGGAAGCCTTATCAAATGACTCCCATCTCTTCCCTCACCGCCCTCAGCTGGAGATCAATGATGTGACAAGAGCTTGGGGCCTGGAGGTAGACCGTGTAGAGCTGGCAGTGGAAGCTGTGCTGCAGCCACCCCAAGACAGCCCAGCTGTGCCCAACCTGGACAGCACCCTCCAGCAGCTGGCCTTCCACTTGCTGGGGGGAAGCCTGAGCTCAGTGGTAGGAGGTGCTCCACCCCCAGGGCCAGGTAAGGAGTCTGGAGTGCTCACCGGCTCATCTTAATAGCAGTTTTTCTTCTAGTCCCTTTTGCTTAGCTGGTTCATTCTGCCCCATTTCTAGAACTGACTAGAGTAAGGGCCTGGAGAAGTGTGAAGAGGTCCTAGTACCTCTGGGAAGAAGCTGTAGTCCTACATGGAGCTGGAAAGAGGGCGGTGCTGCGGGACAGATCGCATTGACCTGGTTGGGGATGTTGGCTGGGACCCTAGAGGCAGCTTAGGAGAGGATATAAGTGTACAGAGCATGGGGGACTTCACGAAAGGATGCCGACCTTCGCAGTATACTGACCTGTTCTCTCTCCCTCCCAACCCAGTAGACACCTTGGAAATGATAAGTGAAGTGGAGCCGCCTGCCTCTCCTGCTGCGGCTAGGGATGAGCCCAGCTCAAAGCAGCCCGTGGCTGAGGGACTTCTCACTGCCCTGCAGCCCTTCCTGTCAGAGGCACTGGTTAGCCAGGTTGGGGCCTGCTATCAGTTCAACGTCATCTTGCCTAGTGGCACCCAGAGTATCTACTTCCTGGACCTCTCTGCAGGTATGGCCGTCCCCTCCATCCTTCCCTTCCCACTCAGGTTGCTTGTGCCCTCTCCCTTGGTCCTTTAAAGAGCATCCGCTGCTCCTCCCACCTGATTGGAATGAATCCACAATGACAACGGGAGCTTTGGCTTCCCTGTGATTGGCAGGACAGCTCAGTCAGGTAGCCAGGAGCCTCATACACAGCAGCCTGCTGCATACCAGGCTCTGCACTGAGCGCCCTACTTGTGAAGATTATCATTCTCTTCATAAATTTGCAAACAGAAGCAACAAGCAGTTACAGTCAGTAAAGTGTGAAGCCACTGTATTAGAGCCTGCCTGTTCCCGCTGTATTTGTGGGGGTGGGGTTAAGTCTAGGCCACACCCCCAGCTCTAGAACTTGAGCTAACCAGTGCTTGCTGTTCCCAGTGGGATGTGGTACCTCTCCTCCCCACATAGTAGCCTCTTACTGATGCCAGTGCTACCTCCCCACAGGACAAGGCAGAGTGGGACATGGAGCACCTGATGGCATCCCTGATGTGGTGGTGGAGATGGCTGAGGCAGACCTGCAGGCCTTGCTGTGCAGGGAGCTGCGGCCCCTGGGGGCCTACATGAGTGGGCGGCTGAAGGTGAAGGGTGACCTAGCTGTGGTCATGAAGCTGGAGGCTGTCCTTAGGGCCTTGAAGTAGCAGTGTTGGTTGCCCACCCATGACCTAACCGTGAACCTGGTGCCAAGTCAGAGAAGCCTCTTGGGCTAGGAGGCATTGGTCTGGGCTGCAGCAAATTGAAGCCTGGAGGTGTTTCCGGCCCAACCAGGAGCCCAGAAGGCTGGGAGACAACTGTTGCTGGTCAGTGCTGAGTCAGGTGTCCTACACTTGAACCTGTGGTGGTTCTCTGGATAGGCCTGTGCTCCCTCGATCCCCAACAAAGTGCCTCGTCCTGAGCTGCTACGGAGTGAAGACAGACAGAACCCGGCCTGCCCTACCCTGCTGGTAACTTGACCGGATAGACAAAAGGCACAGAAGCAGCCTGTATGTCACCCATGTGAAGGACCAGAGCACATGGATCATGGCTCTGACATCCAGGGAGATGAGAGAGTAGGGAAAAGCTGGGAGGGCAGCCCCCCAAGAAGGGGTTGCTGCAGTGGAGCCAGGCTACCCCTCTTTTCTATTGACAAGCCAGAACAGGCTAGGAGGGGAGGGCATGGATAGAGGAGAGTTGTTTCTTGTCCACCAGCTTCATCGTGCATGCTTGAGGAGCTGGCTCAGGGCAGCATGTGGGAGAGCCCTGCTATTCTGTGCTTACTAGAGGCTTGAGAGCCTCTGACAAATAAATGTGGCATTTACAGTGTGCATTGGAGACGCACAGCTGGCTGTGGGGCGCGATGGGGCATGCAGGGTCTATAATGCCCTATGCCCCGCCAAGAGCCAAGGCTAGAGGGTGACACAGGCTCTCAGAGCAATTGAAGCTTTTCCTTCTGGGAAGAGCCCTGAACGTCAGGAGGAGGTGACTGTGGGTTGCTCTCCGTCTCTTTTTATAGTGAGGGAACAGATTTACCAGGGAAGTAGGGCATGAGTACAAATACTAACTTACGGGAGAACAAGATGAGGGGCTCTTAACCTGTTCAGGTGCGGAGCCGGAGCCACTGTGAGCAACCCTCTTCCTGCTCTCAGACGTGGTTGCTTCCCTGGATGATGAGAGAGATACAGCCTGAGGCTTGGCTGTTGGCTCATCTGGCTTCTGCTCCACTGGTCGAGCCTCAGCTCACGACTAAGAAGTGAATGTAACGTTCTGGAGGGGCTTGTAGAGAAAACCAAATCACACACCAAGCCCACAGCCCTCAGCTTGTCTTCTGCCAGTGCCAGTCTTTTCTCCTGGGCCCTTGTACTGATACCAGGCCCTACAGTGTGTCCCTCTCTGTCTTTTCTGGTGCTAGATGCTGTCTTGTATTGCTATAGGCTCTCCACCTGGCCTGGGCACTCCCTCAGAGCTAGCGTGGGCCCCACAGACAGTAGGGACCATCGGAGGCTTCTTCCCTGAGGCTGTGTTCCAAAGCCCCTCTCTAGGCCCTGCTAGCTACTGAGTGCCCCTTAGAGTCTTTCCCTCCTGCCTGAGCTCCAAGAAGGCAGCTAATGTCACTGTATGTTTTTTAACTGTTTAGAATTTATTTTTAACAAAATAAAATACGTTAAGGTAAAACCAAGAGCATCATATCTAAGTTGGACAAGCCAAACCAATAGAAAAAAAAGTGAAAGAACCCTAAGAGAAGGCAAAAGAATCAGAGACCCAGTTGTTCTCACACTCGGGAGCCCTGTGCAGGTCCCAGACTGAAAGCTGTAGCATAAACAGGCCCCGTGTGCCTCCTGCTTCAGCCTGAGTTCCTGTGAGCTTTGCTCAGTTGTTTTCGAGGGCCTTGTTCTCCTGGTGTCCTCTGTCTCCCCCACTCCTGCCCTTTCTGTAGGGTCCCCTTAGCTCTGAGGGGGATGATTTGATGGAGACATCTCCTTTAGAGCTGTGTGTTCCAAGGTCTGTCTCTGCACACGATGTCTGGCTGTGGGTCTCTGTATCCCCATCTGCTACAGGAGGAAGCGTCTCTGATGATGGCTGAATAAGGCACTGATATGTGAGTGCCATAGGAGTTATTTTTTTAGACCAGTAGCATTTGGTTTTACCATAGGTCTCTAAGTTATCTGGGCTCTGGTTCCTGGCCACGCAAGCAGTGTTCCATCTCATGGAGTAGGCCTTGAGTCACGTCAGACGTCAGCTGTTAGACCCACAGTTTGTGTCACCGTTGCCCTGTATGTGCGACATTTGTAGATCAGGGTTTTGTAGTTGGGTTGGTACCTTTCTACGTCGTAGACCTCAGAACTTTGGGAATTGTAGGCACTAACTCAACCCCTCCTTGCTCAGTGAGTTGTGTTGTCTTTAGCAGTGGGGGCCTTGCTGCCAGTTTATGGAGAGCAACCTATTGTCTGGACAATAGCCTGGATTGCTTGGGGATTTCCATGGGACCCTCTTGGTCAACAACTCAGTTGAATGCAGCCCAGTCCTGGCACTGCAAGCTTCATTTGATGACAGGAGATGGCCAATGGGAGTTCCATATCCCTCGCTATTTAGACTTCCTTAGGGTCTCCTTCATATAGTATAGGAAGTTCCCCCGCACTGTTTCCATACCACCCCTCAAATGCCCTTCAGTTCTAGCTGTCTTTCCCCTCGTTCCCTCTCTCAGTCCCATCCCCCCTTCCTTCACCTGATCCTCCCATTCTATCCTCCCCCACCTCCTGCTTCAGTCCCCCCTACCGGGGAGACCCATATATTCCCACCCCAAGTCCCTGTATGCCTTACCTCTCTGGGTTGTAGCTTGGTTATTATTTATTTAAACTAATGTCCAGATATAAGTGAGTACATGCCATATTTATCTTTCTGGATCTGGGTTACTTTACTCAGAACTATTTATTTTTTTCTAGTTCCATCTATTTGCCTGCAAATTTCTTGATGTCATTAAAAAAACACTGAGTAATACTCCATTGTATAAATGTACCATGTTTTCTTTATCCATTCCTCTGTTGAGGGACATCTAGGTTGTTTCCAATTCATGGCTATTATGAATAGAGCAGCAGTGAACGAGAGAACCCTTCTTTTCCATTCCACTATGCCCACTGGGCCTTTAGCTACCTGTGAGCATTCACCTGCCAGAGCCCTGAAGGGCTGCTCACACGGGAACCCAGGCCACCCTCCATGCTCCCTCATCCACAGAACCTTGGCAGCCAGCCCTGCATCCCAGGAAGGAGCAGTCAGTTCCAGGAAAGATGATCATGGCTTAAGGAGAACTGAAACTGAAACGCCTTTTTTTTTTTTTTAAATGAACTTCTGATTAACATTCCCTTTCCAGGAAATGGGAACTTCTGTGGATGTCTTTGTGTATCCTGAGTGTGTGTCCAGCACCCCAGAGATGTAGCCCACAGGCTCAAATGCCCCTGGGCCGGAAGACAGGGCAAACTGGACAGTCCACAGGGAAGGGGATACAGAAACACCTAAAGGGTCTGTCAGAATCTTCCCTGAGACTGCCACTGGGTAGACCACTAAAAGAGGGAGAGACAGGACAAGGGGACACCCCTGTTAGAGCACAAAAGGAAGAGACAGGCTGACGCCTCCAATCTGAGGAGGTGGAACTGACATAGGAGGGCTCTGTGAGGGATTTTCGAGGAGCCAGAAAAAGTAGCTTTTATGTGCCTACTGTATCCCTGTGCTGAGCTAGAAAGAGTAGCTATTGTGTGCCTAATGTGGTGTTTGGGTGTCATTTTAAATCTCTCTCTCTCTCTCTCTCTCTCTCTCTCTCTCTCTCTCTCTCTCTCTGTGTGTGTGTGTGTGTGTGTGTTGTGTGATGTTACAAGACTGGGCTCATAGCCCCACCTGGCTTATAACTCAATATGCATCCCAGCAGTTGAGCATCTTATCAGCAAGTAGGAGGCAGAGAGAGACATGGGGCGTGATGGCCTGCCCACAGTGGCACACCTTCTCCACCAAGGCCACACATCCTAACCCTTCCCAAACAGTTCCACCAACTGGGGGCTAAGTAGTCAAATATATGAGCCTATGGGGGTGTTCTCATTCAAACCATCACGATAGCTGATATATCCACATGGTTCAAAACAAAACAAAACAAAATACAGAGGGGCTGGAGAGAAGGCCCAGAGCTTAAGAGCCATGGTTGCTCTTCCAGAGGACCAAGGTTAATACTCAGCACCTACATGGCCGTTCACAACTGTAACTCCGGGCTTGTGAATCTGACACTCTCTTCTGGCCTCAGGCACCAAGCATGCATATGACACACAGACATACTTGCAAGCAAAGCAAAAAGCCTATACATTTAAAGTAATATAATAATAAATTTGTTAAGGATTAAGGAGAAATGCTGTGAAGATTGTCCCTAATGTGCTCCAACCCCATTGAAGTGTCTCCCTCATCTTCCTCCACACAGCCTTATCATATTCCCAGAAGGGTTGTTATATGGTGGTGGTGGTTATTATTGTTGTAGGTCTTGCCCTGTAGCCTAAACTACCTCAAGTTTTTAGGTTTATTCCCACTGCAGAGTACTGCAGGCATTCCCCACCATGCCCAAGTGTTACCCCTGCCCTGAAGTAGGAGGCTGCTAGTTCATTACTAGCCACCCTGACCCAAATAATCACACCGAAACTATATTAATTACAACAGTGTTTGGCCTATTAGCTCAGACTTCTTATTAACTCTTGCATCTTAACCCATTTCTATTAATCTATGTGGCCTACTGGTCAACTTCTGGCATTTGTCTCCTTCGTCAGCTACATGGCATCTTCTTGACTCTGGCTACTCTCTGTATCTTTGTTCGGATTTCCCTTCTGGCTTTACTCTGCTAAGCCATTGGCTGAAACAGCTTTATCCATCAACCAATAAAAGCAACACATTCAGAAGAACATCCCACATCACCCCCCAGCTTTGTTTGAGACAGGGTCTTCCTATGTAGCCCAAGCTGGCCTTGGCCTCATGGATCTTCTGTCTCAACATCTCGAATGCTGGAAATATTGGCATGTGCCACCACACCTGACTGCCTGCTTTATTCCTAGTATTTCATTGCATTTCCAGCACTGGCCCGTGCCTGTCAGTTAATGAATACCAGCAGCTGGCTTTGAAAGTCAGCTGACTGAATAAAATGAAATCTTGTGACTGGAGAGATGGCCTAGTGGATAGTTTCTGCCAGACAATCATGAGGACTGGAATTTGAGTCTCCAGGGCTCATGAAGAAACTGGGAGTGTGTGGGTGGAGCAGATCTGTTACTCCAGAAACGGGATCCCTAGGTGAGCCAAGACTGACGAACTCAGCTCAGTGAAATACCTGCCTCAGTAAATACAGTGGAGACCAATTTAGGAAGAGAGCTGGTGTCCACTTCACATGCACGTGCACCCTCACAAATGTGCCTCCCATGTGTACGCATATGCAAAAGATTGATTTGGTTTGTTGAGGAAGGAAGCAAGGGAGACAGAAATACCGAAGTAGTACAGAAGAACAATGGAGGAGGAAGATGACGGGAACAGAGAAGAGAAGAGAGTGTGCAAAGGAGCAGGGCCCCACAAGGAGGAGAGGAGGAGCCAGGTGCTCCCCGAGTTGCTCTAGAGCAGTGGTTCTCAACCTTCCCAGTGCTGCGACCCTTAATACAGTTCCTCATGTTGTGACCTCCAACCATAATAAGAAAACTGGCCTTGTAGCATCTAAGCTGACTTTAGACCCTGTAGTATCCAAACCACTATGCTTGCTACCAAGATGCAGATAAAGCCTGCTAGTCACCCTAGCGGGGCCAGAGTCACCTAGAAGAGGAAAAACTAGGGAGGGACTCCCAGAGGCCTCCCTGCCTTCTGCCTCCTGGTCTGATGCCAAAGAAAACCTGAAGTAAGCAGTCTGCAGTGTGTGGCGCCATCTGGTGGTGCTTGGAGAACAAAAGGATTTTCTTCCAGACAAGGCTTGAGGCTTGCAGAGTGGGAAAGGTTCTGAGCATAGTGAGGGAAAATGTGGGTACCCAGGAGAGTTCACCTGGCCTGGCCACTCCCCATCTTCATAACGAACAAACATCCCTGCTGTACCTGGGCCTGGGTGGGTTTACTGGAGCTAAGGGCAGAAAGAGAAGCGAGAAGTGGGTTAGTCAGAGGAAACTGACTTTAGTTAGTCAGGTTTTTGGATTAAATCTGTGAGGCAGGCTAATTATATCAAAGACCATTTCCCCATGCTTTATGAACATTAAAAATGAGGATTTCTACATCAAGTGTAACACATTTTAAGATAATACAGTGTGAGTTTTGTCGGTTTTTCCATGGGAATGATCCAGCTAAGAGCAGGTCTCGGCCTCCTCAAATACTGCTTTCATCCTGATGAGTTAAATATCTTCTAACCCTACAAATCACTTTCAAATATAATGCAGCTCGTATGACTGCTACATTTAATAGTGAAAGAAGCTGACATGAAGTTAATGATATCCATTAATAACGGATGACATCTTATAAACATTTGATTAAATATTGATGAATTTGTGTTATTTAGTTTTTCCTTTTTACAACCAAGCATTTATCTTAGGTTTTAACCATTTATGTGGGTCCCTGAGACCGTCAAGGGCTCTTTGCATGCCTATGGAGGGGACCTCCTTATCTGTTGCATAAATATGTGGTCCTGATGCT